GTGATCCGCAAGCAAATCCCCGCACTTCGGGCCACCCAAGGAGCATCCTCCAAACCAAACATATGGCTCTGCAGGACATCTGAAATGTGTGAGCGCTGCTGGGGAAACTTTTCCCAGGCGTACTCACCTCATAAGGGGTTTGAAAATGGCACACTTAGAATGCCCCTTCATGTATGCGGGTGCAAGAACATAAACATATATATATACATAACTATAAATAAATAACTATATATATATGTAGATAGCCAATATATATATATATAAACAGGTGCTTTTAGTGTGGCAGTACACTCTCATAGTTGTACAACCGAGTTACATATGCTCTCGCAAAGAGCGCGCGCTTCCTCTTCTTCTGCCTTGCACTGTCGTCGGTTTGTTGGGTAGCCGCTGTCATTCCTGGATCGGGTGCAGGGAGCACTAGTGATGGGTCAAGGGTGTGAGAGTTGAAACAGGGAACCCTATATATATATATATACATATATATATATATATATGTAAATATCAAAGGAAGCTAGGAAGCAATCTTCCGAGTTGTCGACAAATAGTGAGACTCTGTGAAGTGGTGACTTAGGAAGGTGGCGGCTTCGGGAAGTGGTGACGTAGAGAAGTGGCGACTTATAGGGGAGTTGTGATTCAAGGGAAGTGGTGACTGAGGGAAGAGTGGCACAAATGTGAATGTGTGTGTGCATTGGCGAAGAGTGACAAAAATGTGAATGATAAGTCCTCGGCACAGAACGGAAGCCTTCTATGCATTGCGCCGCCAAAATGCTCCTCAGCGCAAATATAAGATCATTGAGAGGCTCATAGGAAAGCAAAACCATACATATATATATATACATAACACAGCGACAACCCCATGGAAAAACGCATAAATAAAACGTATTTGGTAAACAAGACTAAGACTCCGAAAACCACATTTGCCATCTCCAGCCACTTTTGCGATCTGAAAAGGGACTTTCTTGATTTGTGCGGCTGTTCCACTGCTTGTAGACAGAAGTGTTTTACAAACTTCTTTGTAAAACTTTTCCCGATTTGTCGCGAATAGATCCTCCACGTGACAAATGTTTCCTACAATTTTAGCCGTTGAGTGCGTCCACCTGGGGCTAACTTCGATGTGTTTGTCCTCTTCACCCTTCTCCTCTACCTTCTGGAAAACATTGAACTGGCCAGGCTCGCCTTTGTCCACCTTAGGATCACGCACTTAGAATGCCTACCAGCCTAATGACACCCCAATCCTCGTATATATATATGTATATATAGATGGTAAATATTTGCCTTACATATTTGCCATGAAAAGTATGTTTAAAATACGTATAATTATGTACATATATATATATATGTAAACCAGGAGCTGCCTTATACATATATATATATATATGCATATTTGTGCACAAATGCTTGCAAGTAGCCAGGATGCACAAGGGTTCCTTGCAATGATGAGATAGCAGCACGGAACACCAAGAACGCCTAGTATCCCGCCAACCAGTGCTTTCATCGTCGGGGGAGCCAGCCAGAACTATCCCCAAGCAAACCACTTTCTCCTCGTCCATCAGTTGCTTCGTCTTGGTACTGTTCCAAATGTTGCCCAAAGATTGAGATACCACCAGGAAATGAGACTGACATTTTTGCTTTCCATTCTCCCCGAAAATCATACCAACCAATCCCGGCTTTCGATCACTCCATGACTGGAAGGTGAGCAAACTGGCCTTTTGAAGGCCAATCCTAGATTTCGGCAACTCTGGGGCTGCACTGGCTGCTGGTGGCGCCTTGAATAGGGTATCCATGAGATTGGGAAGAGCTGACAGCCCCTCTGGATCAGCAGCCGGCATTATGGCCTTGATGTCACTGGATCCGGCTGCGGCAATGTCCCCAATTTGTGTAGTAGCCTCGCACCACTGAAGGATGAACAAACAGACTGGTGCGTGTGTATATAGCGACGTACTAAAACTTAGAATGCCTGTAGCCTCTATATAGCCAAATGCCTCCCCAGGACCAAAATGTTCAAAAAAAACTGGTAAAATGCAATTTTCCACTTGTTGCTAGGTGAGGTGGAATTTTAGCAATATAAGCCTTCTGTAGGGAATTTCTATGAGAATTTACAGGTGATATGGAAATGAGTGCCGCACATAGAATGCCTCCGGCCGAAAAGTCACAGCTCCCCGCTTAGAATGAAAATTCCCCACTTAGAATGTCAGCGCATGAAAGTTTTATCGCTTATATATATTCTGTCCCTGTCCAAGAAACTGCATCAGTCCCTTTTTTTGCAGCTTTCACCTTGGCAAACCACTTGAAGCAGTCTGCAACTCGGGCCCAGGTTCGGCTGGAAACCTCTTCACCGTTCTTCATTGTAGCCTCGATCCCTTTACCCGAACTTGCAAATGTCATTCTGGCACCATCCACCACACATATGTGGTCCAAGATTTGCTGCTCCAGCTGGCCTAGTAGTCAAAGAATTAGAATTTGGACACGGAAATTGAATGGCCATGAACTTTTTTCACCACTATATATATATATATTTATTTATATACATATAAATATCTATGTATATGTATGAATATGTATAAATATAGGTATCGTAACTAAAGATTCCCAAAATTGATTATATATAACCAGTCATTAAGCGGGCCCTTTGCTGTATATAAACTGAAAATGACATTAGCACAAATCAGACGGGGCGCCATATTCCCCTTTGCAAAGGAGAGACCGCAAACTGGCCAGTTGAGCTGACTTGGTCCTGCCTTTCACCTCCAAACCAACGTCTTTGAACCATGTTTTTCGCTCCTTCACGCCCACAAATGGTGAAACTTGCCAATCTTTTTGGGTAAAACCGCATGATGTATGTGTATATATATATATACATTCATAGGCGTGTCCTTGTTCAGATGCAAAAAAAACTTGTACAGATTCATATATAGTATCGGACTGAAACTTAGAATGCCGCACCCTTTCCGGTCGCGCTGTTCTAAAGAATGCCGCCGTGGGAGCAAAATCTTTAAAAAACCCTGGTAAAATGCAATTTTCGGGTACCTGTAATTTGACCGGGTCTTTTTGTAATGAGTCGTTCGTAGGTAAATTTTGTGAGAATTTACAGCGTAATATGAGATCGAGTGCCACACATAGAATGCCTCCGGCCAAAAAGTCCCGGTCGCAGCATGTCAAACATTTGAAGCCCATATTTTCAAAATACTCGGTATACGCGAGGTTTTATGTACTTTGTGCAGCCCACATAGAATGCCGCCAAAAACATATACAAATGTCATCATTCTGTTGCAAAATCTCTGTTTTTTTTATGAAACACATGGTTTGTATTTGGGAGTGTCCTCCATCTTGTGGATGTCCAACTGAATCTCCAGTTTTTTCGCCTTTTCATCGAAGAAACGAGCCGCAGACTTGACAATGTCCATGGCCCCATAATCTGCAACTGTGAATTTCCGGGTGGCATCACCCGCGCTGACTACGCACCTGAACTGGACATAGGAATTGTGATGCAGGAATGGCACCGGCATGCTTCCCCCCAAGTAATAAACACCCAGGGGAGTCTTCTCTATTTTGTGGGATGTATTTAAAATTAGGGTGGGAAGTTTCCCGCTGATATTAAAATAGTGAAAACCTTCATTATTTTTTTTGAGAAAAACTAAAATCGATCAAATTCCTGCTACAATCTAATTAAACAATTGCCAAAAGTTGGATATACGCACACACACACATATCCCAAAATAGCATTTGTTTAAGGAAAAGGCGCTGCTTCGCCATGACTTTGATGCTCTTGGGTAGTGGTTTCTCTTTCTCCAACCTGAGTTCGGGTCTCGGGCGCGAAGGTACTTGATTTATCTTATTTGAAGGGCCTATCCATGTGCATATGTACAAATATATATATATTTATATTTATATAAATGTCAATATTTTCGATGTCTTCTCTCTCCGTGTATTTATATATATATATATGTGTGTGTGTGTGTATATATATATACCATTTGTGTGTGTGTGTAACACTCCGTTTTTTGCCAAGAAGCGCAACCGTGTCCTTGGCTGCTATGGACAAGGAGGTGCTAGTAGGAACCTCTGGTCCTCCCTCCTCCTCCGACCCTGGCGAGCCATCTGGAGGAGGCAACGGTGGATCTGGCTTCGGCAAACACAGTTTTTTAGCAGGAGGCGGCCCCTCCTGCAGCAAGGCTTCCCCCAGAAACTTTGCTACAGCGTCAGCTGCCATGGCCAGATTCGAATTCCTCTCTCTATATGTATATATATATTTATGCGTGTGTAATATACAAATGAAAAATCGAGAGAACAATGAGCAAGCTCTCCTTCCTTGTGGTGAATTGTCGTTTCATAAAAACAACGTGCGTGTGATTGTATGCGTGTGTGAGTGTGTGCAACAAGTTGAATTCTTTGTATATAAGTGGTGTGGCGTCAGTCGCTGGGATGGCGGCATAGCAGGCAGCGAGTGAAAGGAAACCTCCCATGAGATTGGATTTATATACAATTATTCATATGAAATAGTAAATTTATACAATCCTTCAAACCATGTGTTTCACAAAAAAAAAGAGATTTTGCAACAGAATGATGACATTTGTATATGTTTTTGGCGGCATTCTATGTGGGCTGCACAAAGTACATAAAACCCCACGTATACCGAGTATTTTGAAAATATGGGCTTCAAATGTTTGACATGCTGTGAGCTGGACTTTTTGGCCGGAGGCATTCTATGTGTGGCACTCAATCTCATATTACGCTGTAAATTCTCACAAAATTTACCTACGAACGACTCATTACAAAAAGACCAGCTCAAATTGCAGGTACCCGAAAATTGCATTTTACCAGGGTTTTTTAAGATTTTGCCCCCGCGGCGGCATTCTTTAGGACAGCGCGAGCTGAAGGGGTGCGGCATTCTAAGTTTCAGTCCGTCATTATACTCATATAATCGTTATAGTCGGTTATAGCATCTAAGTCGTTCCCTTTTCCAATGCTGTTGTGAAAAGTCGTCGCGTCCAGCTCTCCAGGTGTGGCATAGTCATTTGATCAGCTCTGTGACCCCTGTGCTTCTGATGCTCCTATTTGCTGCCACTTAGATGCCCTAAAAAAACATCGAAATGGCAAAGGTGGTGTATTTCCGATATGGCAAGGTGCTATTTGATGTTATTCATATAATATATATATATATATATACACATTGTATTACACATCATTAAATATAATATGGATGGTCACTTCAGTTGCTAATTTTGCATACTTGGACTGCTGTTAATTTATGCTTTGAATCTTACCACCAACTAAGGTCATAAAGGATGTCCCCTCTGCTTTGATGGTGGGAAGTAACTGCTTCTTGCCACGTACCACGGCTGCAGTAGTCTTCAACTTCAGCACCACTTGGATAAAGACCAGGATCTTTGTTGCCCAGTATTGCGCCATTTCAGATATAACGATGCGTTGGAACGTCATGAGGCTGAGACTCACAGCAACATGTCGACAATTTGGAGGGTCTTAAACTTGGGGACACCAAAATCATTCAAAATGGTTCATGTTCAATCGGGAAACCGCTGGTTTTGGGGTACAGTACCCTCAATTTTGAGAAATCTCCATATCAGGAAAATAGAGGTTTCAGTTCAGCTTGATTTGACATGTCTATTCCATGCAGGTTTTTGGGGCGACGTGGGTCGCTTTTTTGTTTGCTATCGCATAGAGCCGGAGGCGCGGGGACGCATAGAGACGGGATGTGCCATAGCTATCCATGGATTGCCATGGATATATCCCTCCCAGTATGTATGATATCCCTATTGTGTCTGAAATCATATAATAATATCATATCATATCCATAGATATGTTGATTATGTTATATATATATATGATAATACCATCCAGAATCCAGATCTAGTAGTCATTTACCATGACAAATCATGACATCAATGGCCACTTCATACATATTTCCTTACATAGCCCTAAACAGTAGACCTTGTATGTGGTAGGTACCTCCCATAAATCGGTCCCTGAAATGGCCATTGGCATGCCAGGCAGATGGTGGACAACAGATTTGTCGCTTTCTTCCCCCGCAGCCCTGGGCGCTGCTGGCGCTGTTCGTGCTGCTCTTTCTGGGCGTCCTACTGGGCTGGTGGCGCAGCGTCACAGCGGCGGAGCGGCAAAGGGCCCATGTGATATACCTTACCAGAGGATATCAACCACGGTGACCTGACCAACACTTTGGGTGGATCTGTGTGGTAGATGAAAAGAATACTGGAATCCAGTCGACTTCGAGACCGCATCAGATGTTGCTGCGTTTTTGGGAGTTGTGGAACATGTGGAACAGTAGTTGTGTTGCGATGACATTGCTTCGTGAAAGAATGGCCCCAGTTCAGTGTGGATGCTTAGCTCATTCCCTGCAGCGTGAGGTATGCATCTTGGGAGTTGGAGCGCTTGGTGCGGAAGATGGTCCTGAGGCTTTTTACAGCCTTGCTACCAGTGACCCTTTTTCCAGCATTGCATATGGCAGGCACGGAGATGCAGGGTTCTATGACATTATGACAAGCAGCCCAAGCTGAACTCACTGCTTTTGTGCCGTATTTGAATTACAGGCAATACCCTCGTTCTGCTTTTTGCGTGGACTGTGCACTTGCACGTTGCACCGTACCAGACTCTTGTCAGCATTACTCAATATTACTCAGTATTTTCTGCACAGACTGTGCCTTTGTGACTGACATTGGGCACGTTATGAGATCCGTTACCACAAGGAGAGCCAAGTGGAATGTCACCGAAGCTTTGCTACTCACCACGGCATTGTTGATGACCATCCTTTCCAACTGCATGATCGCAAATGATTCACATTGGGGACACTCTGCCACTTGGCAATGAACAGCAGAATGAACAGCAGACGTCATCAGATGGTCCTGTTAACAGCACAGCTGTTTCCGGCAGGTGCTGACGCAGTATGTCCTGTTTTTCGTGATCGTGTCCTTGGCTCTCGTCGCCTCCCTGGTTATCTTGGTGATGTTTCTGCTGCAAGTTTACCAAGAGAGGTTGCTTGGCTTTGCAAGATTTTGCAAGGTGATGGCAGTGATGGCTTTCAAGTTTTGGCAAATGGCATGATGCACGATGTCAGGTTTGCACCACAAGATGTCGAGAAGAAGACTTTGGAAGAGTGAAGCGGAACATGCGGAAAAATGAAGCATTCGCTGCAGCAGTGGTGACCGTCAAAGTAAAAGTGGAAGGCAGGCACTTTCCAACAACTTCTATATTGAACCTTTTCAAAAAGGCATTCATGATCATATTGATCATCAATATCATTATCATATTGATCATCAATATCATTATCATATTTATCATCAATTTTGATAGATGCAGGATGATTTGGGATGATGTCAATACATGTCAATACAAAGTGATTGACTGATGCCCAAACCTGGCACCTGCCTTCCAGGACACCGATCGCTGCTTGCGTGCTGCGCGCATGCTGAGCGCTGGCTTCGACGAGTTGTGCGAGGCAGAAATGGCATGAGAAAATGGTTGAGGATTCCACAGAATCAACATATTGACATATTGCAAAATATTGCAAATATTTATTGCAACATATGTTTAAAGTTGTTCTTTGTAAAGATGTTGCAAGTCTGCAGGAAATTCAGGTTTTTCGACTTTGATCAAGTTTGGCAGTATCAAATCACTCTCCGATGGCGGGCTGCAAAGCGTTTGAGACATCTGCCTGAGGCACCCGAACCGCACCCGTTGCTACAGCAGGCTGAGTCGGGAGGATGATGGCCCGTGTCTGACAGTTTTTGACTTGGCTGTAGTCAAAAACAAACAGTAGACCTGGGAGAACTGTCCAACAAAAAAATCCTGTTCGATGTTTGTCCAATAATTGAATTCCTATAAATTCCAGAAACTCAGGCAGGGTCTCTTTTGATATTTTTTGATGGTGAAAGATCCTGTCCAGCAGGTGGTGCACTGCCTGCGTAGCCCCGGAGACTGGAGGTGTCCTTTGCCTAGCGCGGCTCTCCGATTGGCAGGACTGACACGTTGTTATTTTCTGTCGACTGATACTTCATGATACATCTACATCATTGATCATAATTGCATATTACAATATACAATAATATACATTGATGATGTGTTAATAATATATCAAATATATTATGTGCCATATATGAATGATATGAATGATGTGTTGATAATATATCGATCAATAATTATATACTATATATGAATGATATGATAGTTTTTGTGAAAGGGATGTGATGGCAATGAGTATTGATATGTCATGATATGTCCCTTGTGTTGATTTTTATGCAAAACGATAAGGAAGAAAACAAGGATAGAGTTCCGTATATGTTTGACATGTTATGATCTGATGTACTGGTATTAATGTGGTTTAAAGGCTATTTTCGCAGACGAAAATCATGTTTTTACTCCTGGGAATCCTTCATCTGGAGGCGTGGGAACGATTTTGAGCTGGAAGCGGAGTCAAAACAATTTTTAGACGCCGAATAAATTGTCAGGGTCGTTCATGGTTTTCTTCCAAATGTGGATCATCAAAGGGCTCGTAGCAGCTGTGACACATGCAGCTTGTGGAGATCAACTAGACTTACAGCCCCACAATGAGCATAGACAATCTAGGGATTGTGCGGGGGACTTCCCGCATCAAGACACATACTTATTGAAGTAGCCTGTAAAAGGTGGAAACAAAATCTAACAAGGGAAAGGGAAAATAGGGAATGGAAGATATGGAAGGAAGGAAAAGAACACCTTTTGCTCCTTCGTCCTGGGACAGCACTTTGTTTTTGACATGTCGTTCCTTTTTGTCTTTCCTTTCCCTGTTCCATTCTTTGCGGTTCCTTTCCTGGTTCTTTTGATATAGGTGTTTAATTTGCGAATGATATGCTCATGGATTTCTGAGTGCTGGTTTTTGTGTGAGGAATCTTGGTGGAACTACCAGAGCCCAGTTTCACGGATGCGCTGTTGGCAGCTGGACTTCTGGGCGTTTGAAGCTCAGTCGGGCAGGGGGAGGAAGAACCGAATTACCATGGATCAATCCGGGCAAGAATGGTGCTGAGATATAGATATATACAACATCCACATGACATCAAAAAATCAGCATAATTCAGCTATTACATCACGGATCAAAGGGATTTTGCCTCCGGTTTGCAGAGATGTGAAGTGTTCTGTGAAAGGCATTGCATGCTGACCTGGTAGATGCATATGCACCACTGCAGGCAGGGTTTGATCCAACCGGGTTGTTTCTGTATATGGATTTAACCTCGACAGAAGGCCAGTTGAGTCATGTTGAGTCCAAAATCCCAGTGGTCCCAATGGTCTCCTAGGTGCGCCGTGATGCTGCCTGGGTATTGGCCAATGTGGCTGCTGGCAACTTGTCGCAGGCGCGGCATTTGCTGCGTCATATTCGCCAGAAAATGTTAAGAAGATGTCTGTGTGTGTGAGTGGTTTGCGATAATAATACAGTAACCATCTGTAACCCACGTGAAACATTGTGAAACATTGTGAAACCTGTTATTTTGCGAAATTCAAGATTACGCGTACATATAAGGCTACTGCATTTTTGAAAGGCCTCACATAAAGTCGTGGTTGTGCCAGGCTCAAAGGCTTGCAGAGCAGCCTGGTTTGGCTGAAGCCCTCTGTGATCAACAGACGAAGGAGGTGGACACAGGGATAAGACTTCAGGTGAGAGCACACACCACTCCAGCAGCAAGTTTTGCAGTGATTCCTGCTGATTTCTGGTCACGGTATGACGTCCATTTTCTCCCTGAACTTACTTCAGGACGCCTTGTTTTTGACACAAGCTCTAGTCACTCTAGTCTGTATCATCTTGTGCCAGGTTGCTCAGGAGTGTTCCTGGGCCATTCTGAACCTTTTGAAGTGGGTGCCTGAGGCAAAATCTGGAAAAGCGCAAGGGTACTGAGCAAGAAGCTGTGCGAACGGACTCAATAAATCCACGGTTTGCCACGATTTGCCTAGTAACTAGTAGAATAGATACTGTACCAATTTGAGCGCTTCAATTGCGCCTAGACTCACAAGGCATGGCCCTGACATGTTTACGCGCTTGGGCATCCATAGAGCGTGGAACCTAAGCTCGTCTCCAACACCTGCTGGGCTGATAGTTTGGCATCTGATGCCTCGTTCCAATTCCGAAGGTCCTGGGCGTTCTCCTAAACGCCCTCCATTCAGAGGCAGCTGGAGACTCAGGGGTATGGACCAATGGAGCAGTCGACCTGAAAGGAACAGCTCCTCTCAGGAAGCATCGCTTCAGCAAGCTGCAATGGAACAACTGGAGCTGCTGATGCAGCAGCTGACTCCTGAGGCTGAGACGGCTGAGATATGTTTTGTTCTGATACCAGATATGTATCCATGATTATCCATGATTATCTAATTACAGATCCCCATGTCGTATATGTTTTGTATTGTTTTGTTACATGTCCTATTGGATACCCTCTGTTTCAAGCCTTGGAAGGCCAGCGGCCTAGTTGCGAAGCTCCAAGTGCCTGGGTGCCCAGTCTGGCCAGTGAAAAGCCAACGGGACCCAACAGCTGTGGCCATTGCGGCTGGTCAGGCTGGCACGGTCACCGGACAACGCAGTTCTAAGCAAGGCCTGAGTGGAAGAACATTCATGGAAAGACAGTCCATTGGACAAATGATACATGTAAATATTATAATATTAGTATACTTATAACATCTTAATTATATTTATTTATAACATTTTATAAAGCAATAGACTAATGCAGTAGATTGATTTTACCACACCAGTCAACTACAATAAGTGGGTGGTATAAACCAGCAAGATATGGCTGGATTCTGCAAAAGTGATTGGATTCCTTTCGAAACCGTTACACCCAAAGTGGCGTACGGTGCTAGGCACAATTCCTGCTACAGAATTTCTTTCCCCACGGATCGGCTAACACGAAAGTGCGGAGCTCAACCTTTGGTCTTTTTTCATAATTGATAAAACTTCACAGATGTCAGAATGCAGGGCTTGAAGATAAGGGAGTTGAAATCCTGATTGAATGTGTTCTTTAAACATGAGTGCGTCATCTAAAATCACACATAATTTAGTATTTGTGTACAGTGTATGAACATAGATGCTAAATGATGCTAACGAGTTTCTACATCCAATGCCGAAGCCCTTCTCACCTTCATGGAAGTTTCGACCAGATTGGCCAACTCAGCCTAAAGAAACCCAGGAAGGTTCCAGCCTTGGTTGCTCCAAGTGACTCCGGCTCCTCTTGGAGGTCCACCTAGGATGCTTAAAGGCACAGGACATGCTGCTGGATGTCTATGATGTGTCATCTTCTGTGTCATTTTGACATGTTCATCATGTTCTCAATTTGGCACATTTTGACACTATTCGGCTTGGATTCAGGTGAAGCCATCAAGTTGTCGTGTTTTTGAAGTGGTTCTAAGTTGCCTGTTGAATCGTTGAATCCTTAGAAAACAAGCTCCCCATGATCTTCCACACTCCAGGACCTTGTTCTATGGCAAATGCTCAATTTATATATGACACCCTATGGCCATCTATGGTAGGGAACCCAGCTTTTGCATGCTTTTGCTGCTTCCCAAAGCAGTCAATTGATTCAGTTGATGCAGCGATTGCTGATGCTACCTGCACTTGCAAAGGTGATGATATGTGATGATTTGATGATCATGATATTTTACATTATTTTACCATGTTTACCTCCATGGCCTTTGCAGTCGAGGTCTAATTCGCCAGGTGTTGCTCAAAGTCACGCCTCTGACAGGGCCTCAGTACTTCATGGGGGAATCAAACCATCACAGTCTTCGAAAATACCTTGAGCACACTCAAATGGGGATGGGTCAAAACCTGTTATTACCATGTTTGAGGGAATAACCATCTATTAACCAAATCATCCCAACATCTTCATTCTACGTCCTGCCACCCAAGGATCGTTCAGCAACACCAGGATTTGTCGCTCAGAATCTCCCAAATGCTTGATGAAATCCTGCCGAAAAAAAGCGGAATTGCGTTGCCCCTGGTGCAAAACCAGGATGACGCCATCCTCCTTGGAGGGTAGCATCCGATTCCGCAAGACAAGTTGTTGCTCCTTGAAAGCCAATGATGGCTGCCATGTTTGTCCCATTAAATCATTTGAAGAAAGGGCGGGTGTTCCTCAAGTGCTTGTTG